CGTCGGCGTAAAAACCGACGGCGTCGCGCAAGCTCGACGGGAGCGCGCCGCGACGCGAGGACGCCTCGACGCGACGCTTCTCGATGGAGGGACGGAAGGAACGACTAGGTGAAAAAGGGGAGAGAGAACAGCTGAGTTCGACGGACAGAGACAGCCGGGGAGAAATAAAACGAGACGAAGAATTAGAGCGCGAGGAGATAAATAGAAAGAGGGAGAAGATTAGAAGGGGAGACTACCGGAAAGAAGATGATGACGGTGCGAAGAAATGTGCTGGATGAATTAACCCTCTCACCCTATTCAACCCTATCTTTTCGGGTTATTTCGTTACAATTTAAAGCTCTGTTTACCAATCTCCAAATTATACTACTTTCAAACTATTCTTCCTGTAAATACATTAGCTAATTAAATTAACCAGCTAAATTTCAGCAGCTTTAAAGAACATCCTCCAACAATTTTACAACAAAAATTACACCGAACTGCCTCAGCAACCGCAAGTTTAATCCTCGACAGCTTGAAGAAACTTAACAGCAAACCACATGTGATGTTACAGATCTTAGAACTAATAGAGTTGAACTCTTGTTTTACAATAAAAAATTGATAACTGCTCTTGCAGTCTCTAAAAAACTTCCTGTAACAATTGTAAGGTAGAAATTACACCGAACTTGACCATGAAATTTTCCTAACCTAACCTAACAATCAAATTTTTAACCTAACTTGATCATCAAATTTTCTTAACCTAACCTGACCATTAAAGTCTTAACCTAACTTGACCATGAAATTTTCTTAACTTAACCTAACCATCAAATTTTTAGACTAATTTGACCATCAAATTTTCTTAACCTAACCTAACCATTAAAGTCTTAACCTAACTTGACCATGAAATTTTCTTAACTCAACCTAACCATCAAACTTTTAATCTAACTTGACCATTAAATTTTCTTAACTTGACCTAACCATTAAAGTCTTAACCTAACTTGACCATGAAATTTTCTTAATTTAACCTAACCATCAAATTTTTAACCTAACTTGACCATCAAATTTTCTTAACCTAACCTAACCATTAAAGTCTTAACCTAACATGACCATCAAATTTTCTTAACCTAACCTAACCATCAAATTTTTAACCTAACATGACCATCAAATTTTCTTAACCTAACCTAACCATCAAATTTTTAACCTAACATGACCATCAAATTTTCTTAACCTAACCTAACCATCAAATTTTTAACCTAACATGACCATCAAATTTTCTTAACCTAACCTAACCATCAAATTTTTAACCTAACATGACCATCAAATTTTCTTAACCTAACCTAACCATCAAATTTTTAACCTAACATGACCATCAAATTTTCTTAACCTAACCTAACCATCAAATTTTTAACCTAACATGACCATCAAATTTTCTTAACCTAACCTAACCATCAAATTTTTAACCTAACATGACCATCAAATTTTCTTAACCTAACCTAACCATTAAAGTCTTAACCTAACTTGACCATGAAATTTTCTTAACTTAACCTAACCATCAAATTTTTAGATTAACTTAACCATGTCTGCAACCGCAAGTTTAATCCTCGGCAACTTGAACAAACTTAACAACAAACTACATGTGATGTTACAGAGCTTAGAACTAATCGAGTTGAACTCATGTTTTGCAATAAAAAATTGAGACTGATGAAAAAATAATAAAAAGGGGTATTAAAAGGTAAGAGTAATCGCAAGCCCGTTTCTACCTGCTTCTATCTACAGTCTGAGCAGTCTCCGTGGTATTTTTGGGCGCTCGTTAGGAATTAGCACCGTAGACCTCGAAGGTCTCCGCTAGAAACCGACTTTGCCCCCTTTGCTCCGCGATCGAGAGGATCAGCGAGGCTAAAACCCCTGTTACGACCAAATATCATTCCACCCCATCCCCCAACGCGGTGGAAGTTTGTCAACAATCTTCCAGTATTCCCTGGAAAATGGCTGGAACGCGGTAATCTCGAAATCGTGGCCGCAAAACGAGATTACGTGCCACCCCGAAACTGTACACCCCCTGAAAAGTTTCTAACTGGTCGCGAGACGACGCGGATTAAAAGTTTCCTCTAACGCCGGGGGATTCTCGAGTTGGACCTTTTATCAGTAAATACTAGTCGTTGATCCGACATTTTTTTCAAAGAACGCTAATTTTATACTTTATATATACTACTAGCATTGCTTCGTCGAGAAAAGATATGTTTACACGATATTGCAACAGTGTTAAATACACAGATAACACTGTTGCACTTCAGATATCAACATTTTATCGATATGGAGTAACAGTAGTACATGTAGAAACCCAGAAGCTTTGAATGCCTTTTTCCCTAAGTTCACAATCACGCAAGTAGATCATTCTTACATAGAGTCCACAACACTCGAGGGGTTCAACTACGCACCGAAGCGTCGCGAATCTTCGTAGGCGGAAAACTCGCGGACTACTGGTAAACGGAACGAAAGACCGGCCGGCCTCTACCAGAGCACCCTTCTCCATGAGAAGACGAGTCACCGTGAAACGTGACGGATTCCGCGGCCCGAGGGGGACTTGGCTCGTTGCTGATCGCGTTGCGGCGCGAAGGGGCTCTTACCCGGTCCTTATGTTTCATTACATTTCAATTTAAACCTTAAAGGATAGCCTTAATAAAAATGCAATTGTTAAACTTGCAAAATACTTGAAGATCACTTGGTCATTCATGGTCAGTATGGTAGAGAGAGAGCCTCAAGTAAGATGATAGAACATTATGACCTTCAGTGATCATGGAACCATGTGACCAGTGACCTTCAGTGACTATGGAACCATGTGACCTTTAGTGAATATGGAACTATGTCACCTTCAGTGACTATGGAACCATGTGACCTTTAGTGACTATGGAACCATATCACCTTCAGTGACTATGGAACCATGTTACCTTCAGTGACTATGGAACCATATCACCTTCAGTGACTATGGAACCATGTAACCAGTGACCTCTAGTGACCTATGTCACCTTCAGTGACTATGGAACCATGTGACCTTTAGTGAATATGGAACTATGTCACCTTCAGTGACTATGGAACCATGTGACCTTTAGTGAATATGGAACTATGTCACCTTCAGTGACTATGGAACCATGTGACCTTTAGTGAATATGGAACTATGTCACCTTCAGTGACTATGGAACCATGTGACCTTTAGTGACTATGGAACCATATCACCTTCAGTGACTATGGAACCATGTAACCAGTGACCTCTAGTGACTATGGAACCATGTCACCTTCAGTGACTATGGAACCATGTAACCAGTGACCTCTAGTGACTATGAAACCATGTCACCTTCAGTGACTATGGAACCATGTCACCTTCAGTGACCATGGAACCATGTGACCTTCAGTGAGCATGGAACCATGTGACCAGTGACCTTCAGTGACTATGGAACCATGTGACCTTCAGTAACCATGGAACCATGTGACCAGTGACCTCCAGTGACCATGGAACCATGTGACCAGTGACCTCCAGTGACCATGGAACCATGTGACCAGTGACCTCCAGTGACCATGGAACCATGTGACCAGTGACCTCCAGTGACCATGGAACCATGTGACCAGTGACCTCCAGTGACCATGGAACCATGTGACCAGTGACCTCCAGTGACCATGGAACCATGTGACCAGTGACCTCCAGTGACTATGAAACCATGTCACCTTCAGTGACCATAGATCCATGTGACCAGTGACCTCCAGTAACCATGGAACCATGTGACCTTCAGTGACCATGGAACCATGTGACCAGTGACCTCCAGTGACTATGAAACCATGTCACCTTCAGTGACCATGGAACCATGTAATCTTCAGTAACCACAGAATGACCATTGAGCAACATGGGATAAATAGAAAGAAGAGAGGAAGTGTAGGAACACGTGAAAACCGAGATATAATTAATTTAAGAATCATACATGACAATTTCGAATAATGATGGGAACTATAAAAAAGAAATAGTTCCCTGTTTTCTGAAGGATACAGATCCTCACGATGATTCTTCTCGTTTATTTATATTTACATTAGTATTAAATCATACGGTTACAATGACTTGTAAGATAAATAGAACTTTATAAATGCAAATAAAAAAGGAATTGCACGCTATACGCATACACCAGCTATCTTTCTCTCTCTCTCATTCTGTCTCCCTCTCACTCTTTCTCGTTGTTCGGCCGTTCCGTGAAGCACGTGCCTCATTTTCCTGCTCTGTACAACAGATTAGGCATCTGCCAAATTGCTCTGACCGTGTAAAAGGAAAAAGTTTACGTGAAACTACCTAGTGTTTAAAAATCAGAAAGAAATGGAAAGATCGATGTATAAAGAGCTCCACACACCTCGCACGCGCGAAACAATGTACAGTACCGATAAAGACAATAAAACTTTTGTAATTACAATAAAGAATACCTCTTGGTTCCTTAACGCTATCATACTGATTAAGACAATCGGTAATTACAGTCCCTCTTTCGCTATGCTAAACGATGTTTGGCAGTTGTTCAACGTGTTACAATATCGGTGTGGGTTCGTATGTTGGTGGACGTCAGTCGCTCTTATAATCGCTAACGTTTCGGACGTACACCTCCATAAAAACTGTTCCCACTATTTCGACTAAATAAGCTTCTTCTGTTCCGTGTTCGTACTAGGTGTACTTATCGTCCTCTTCTCTTCGAGTAAAAATACGCTAAATTATATAAGTAACGATTCAACGGACAAGTACCTTGGTAAGATTCGTCCATGCTGATATCTTCGTTAGTATATTTACGCATGTACCTCGTAAAAATGTACACTGATTTAAGTTCGCTTATAAGAGGAAATCTAGACTCGAATCAAAGTCTACCTTAATGTCTCTCCCTCCCCTCGTGAAAATTTTACAAACGCGATTTTCACGGGTTTCGTCATTTTCGATATTTATATCGCGGACTTTGAAATTAGTTTTAGAACGACACGCTCTTTGAACGAATGCCAGTTTCACGATTCGTTTCCTTCTTTAGGAGAATCAACGACCACTTCTCGACCTAATATTCGTTCGCGCGCGTTCAATTAATTACCGTGCTGCACTTACTTGTACGTCAGACTTGTTTACTCGTTACACGGCTGGAGTTACATCGATTAAGTGGAGAGATTTAATGGAGAACAGCAGGGATTGGCGTTTTCTTGGATAAGGATCATTTCGGGAACGTTAGAGGATCCATAAAATCTGAATTGACCGGCTTAACTTATGGGCACTGTTTCCTTTTAGCAAACTGGCGTTTTGCAATTATTGCTATGTTGGTAACACACTGTGTCCAAGAAATTAAAACTGAAAACAGAAATTCAAAGTTCACACAACAGCTATAATTTTATATTTGTATTAGCTAGAATACTAACCCTCTTTAAAAATTCTTCCGCGCAAATGCGAGCCCTGGCATTCATGGACAACTTCATCTCGCTGATCTCTCTGTCGATCTCTTCCATAAAATGAATGACAAAGTCTACGATTTTATGTTTGTACATTTGTTCTACATGGATGTTTGTAATTAAAAAACTAATGTCGTAACCCTGTGCAAAAGTTTCAATTTTAATACACTGAAAAATATATCTTTATCATAAATTGAGTGAAAAACTTACTTCTATCGGCTTTCTCCTGAGAATGATGAAATGTTCTGCTCTCATTGTCATGAATCTTGTGAAGTTATGACACAAAATCTTCTCTAAATCATCAGCCTGTTTCACCGCGATACTTATTCTCATACTGTTTATACTCGATTCGATTAGCACCTTTTCTTTGTCGTTTCTACTTATTAAAATCGGCGTCAACAAAAGTTCCTTGCTAGCTCTTACTTCAACTTCTGGCTTGTTGTGTTTTTCAACTATCTGGGACGAGAAATTTTCAAGACACATAGCAGCAGTAAGCGTTCGTCTTACTGCTGTCAAGTAAGGTTTAAGCGTTCCCGACTGCAACAAAAAGAACATTAATTTATTAATAACTTACTATCATGACCGATAAGTATGTTCTTGAGTGCACTATAACCACACTTGTCAACGTTTTATCAATAAACGTATGAATACACATTTCTATCGATAAACTTATCAAAAATTAAATAAAGTTTCATCGCGTATATCATCGATAATGGAATTAATCATTTCGTGCACTATGGATCACCATAACCTATCTCGCGAAAATCATGAGAAAGCACTCACCATCTTGCCAAAAAGCAAAGAAAATTCTCGTATTTGTGGGCGGCTAGCGGAGAGAAGACGCGCCCTGTTGTGTGTCGTTCTCCCCAGACACTGGTACGCACCGGACACCGCTAGGTGGCTGTTAAAACGATCGGTTGATTTCTCACCGGCTGTTCGGCACGCAATTCGGCTATATACAATGTCCGAATGGCGGTTCCTTTCGATAATGTTGACGACTCACTTCTACGTAACACGATTTTCTCACTAAACACGTGAAAAATGACACGTTACGTTCTGCGCATAGCAAAGAGAGGTTGGGTTCCTCTCAGCCGGCTTTCAGTTTTGAACGCAGTGTGGGTCGTTTCCGAACTTCACTGATAACGAGGATCCGTTGATTTTATCTTCTTTCGAATGCACATATTCCAACAAAAATTAGGCAACTTATCAGCAAACTTGAACAAACTTCGGAAGATATCCTGCGAAATGAATCATCGCTGTGTTTTCACGCATCATGTCTGCATTCCACCTACGTGCGTAATATGAAACGCATTAAATGATGACGATTAATAAATTCCGTTCTATGCACGCAATTATTCAAAATTTCTACTAACACTATCGATACTTCGATTTATTTACGAATTTTATTCCCTGTTTTTGTGGCTAATAATCTTGTAACACTTTCGTTCGAATTATTATTAATTTGTACACTGACGGCGTGAATCTTCAAAGAGCCCGAGACGTTACAAATTTTAACCTGACCATGCTATCAAAGCGTTTGCGTGTGTTATATCGAGACATTCGTAATTTCCTGGCTTCCCAAATCCCTAGATCCCTACTGTATCCCTAGATACCTAGATTTACTTCTATCACGTGACAGTATCAATCTCGCGTCGGTCCTGTTCGACCATCACGTGATGACCGTTCAAATTATCAGGACCAAAAAGTAGAATTCTTTAATTTTATTTGTAATAATTATTAAGAACAATTTCATAAAAATAACTATCACGAAATATTTATTAAATGAACAATTTGTTATGTTTATCAAACAGAAAATGAAAATATATGAAACAAAATAATTGCGCTCCCTAGCGTGGATCGTGACAATCATCCTCACATTTTACTGCATTTTACGTGTGTCAATGCGAAATGCGGAGCATTGAGAATTACGCAGTTGGTCACGTGCAAGATGGTTATTTGTAAATATTATCGTCAAGGCAACTGCCGTTTTGGGCAGTGCTGTCAGTTTGAACATATAAACACTTTTGGTAAGATTGAAACCGATATTTGACGTTACATATTGTTTTACCTTGATATTAAAACTGTTTTATTTGTAGGAAACAATAACAAAGTAGAGTCATACAATGAAGATGAATATACAGTGTAAGTATTAAAAAAGTCTGTAATTATTTCTCATCAACTTTATACAAACTCATTAATATTCTGTCTTGAATTCAGGGTTCTTGTTGCTAAAGAAATACTCAGTGCCGAAAGAGGAGGTCAGTGGTTGTTGTCGTGCTTTGCACCGCTTAAGGATAGACCATGCATTCCTGGCATGGAAGATTTATCCCCAGAAGAAGTACGATGGGAAATTTATCAGGCTCAGAAAAATGGAGTGGTTGAACAAGCAGTTAGTATACAATTGATTATTTATAGTACTATCAAATGGCAAATTTTGTTATACTTTTTGTAGAAAATACGTTTTCAACAATTGTGTCAAGACATGAAGGCCAAAAGGGAAGCTTTGAAAAATCCTACCAGAGAGACATTGACAAAACTTGTACGTAAAATACAATATATAATTTACATTGTCTTTCATTAGATTCTAACATGAAACTATTTTCCTCTTTTAGAAAGAGATTTTAAGAACAGGTCACAAAAATGCAAATGAGAACACAGCCAACAAATCATCAAATTTTTCCTTCGCAAATCTTCAACTTGGACTTTCAAACAATACTTCATCTTCTAATGTATTTGGAAATAAAACGTTCGGAACTCAAAGTAATCCATTCAGTGGAGGTTTCACTTCCTCTAATAATACATCAGTATTTGGTAGGACAACTACAACTTCGAATCCTGTATTTGGCGGTGCTCCAACATTTGGCACAAACTTAGGTGCATTCAGTGGTGCTGGTAGTACCACAACTAATCCTGTGTTTGGAGCAACTACGAATGCTTCTACATTCAATACCGGACAGAATACACAAACTTTTGGGACATCGAGTTCAATTTTTAGAGGTGCAACGTCACAGCCCGTTTTTGGAAATAATGTGTTTGCTAGACCCCAAACAACGCAATCGACCACATCGGTATTCAATAGTGGAGCAACGTCTTCCGCCTCTTTGTTCAGTGGTACCCCCTCTCAACCAAGTACATCAATATTCGGTGGAGCTAAAACGACTACGGCTAATCCATTCGGTGCTGCCCCAAATATACAAACTTCGAATCCTATTTTCGGGACGGCCGTCTCATCCGGAAATTTCAGTTCTGGAATATTTTCTCAGGCCGAAACGGTACCTGCCTTTGGAGGAGCACCAGTTTTTGGCGGTGCAGCATCGTTCTCGAATACTCCTGCTCCGATGTTTGGAGAGAAACCAACGTTCGGAGGCCCTGCTGGAATGTTTGGTGCGCCTAACACCACAACACCTGCTTTCAGCTCTACTCAACCTACGAATGCATTTGGTGCCACTGCGTCTACCCCGGCTGCAAATATATTTGGAACAGCTCAGAATACTGCGCCTATCATGTCTTCTACATCTAACGCAGCACCGTTTGGTACGACATCAACGACCGCCACACCTTTTGCCACTGTGACCTCTCAATTTGACACCCCTAATAACACAACTGCTTTCTCAAAGCCTACATTTGGAATCACTTCAGGAACTACTGGAGAATCATTCGGTAGCACCGTTACATCCTCCAATGCACCGTTTGGTACCACAAATACCAACGCCACTTTTGGTACACCCGCTACCACTACTTCACCTTTCACGACATCCACGTTCGGTGAAGTGAAGAACGCACCATTCGCACCCACAAATACTGCAACTACAACTGCAACAGTGAACCCCTTTGAACCTCAACAAATCGCTTCGCCGTTCGGTGGTTTTGCACAGAGTCAAACGTCTAACACTACAACGGTGTCCTCGAGCGGACCATTTGGAAAACCAACGTATACCGCGACGGTGATCAGAGCCGTCATCGACGAAAGTGTTTATTCCATGGAAAATCAGTTAACTGATGACGAGAAGAGTATGTATTTAGCAGACAAGTTTAGCTTCGGTAAGATTCCACTGAAACCACCTACTAAAGAGGTGAGGTAACACGCAGGTGTTTATTGGAAAATATATGCTGTGATACTTGAATGTTACTGGACTGCTAGTATTAAATAATATATTTATCGGTAGTGTCTCAATTATGTACAGAAGACAAAACGTTCCTTTCTATAAAGACTTGATATTGTAATCAATTAACAAAAAATAAATTGTATATTGCTACAATTTAACCATAAACGTTTTTTTATATTTTCAAACTCAACAGACTGTCGACAAATTAATTTCATAAATACATATATATATCAATCTCTTTTAATTTAATCAATTACACAGTTATTTACATATGTACAGTCATTAATATTAGTGTTCTCAATCGTACTCACATTATCATACATTCTTGTAGTGGATTACTCCAGGGGGAGGTGGAGGAGGAGGAGGAGGAGGAATGCTATTACCAAACTGGCTTCCTTCAGACACCTGAAAGTACATTTGCGTTTAACTTTAACTTCGACAGATCTGAACCTGCGACACAAACCTGTGGCAAGTGACAAAGAGGGTTCGCCGGATAATTGGACCTCTGCGCGTACGCCGTGGGCTGATTCGAAGGCTGTGGTAAACCGGGAGGTATACCATTCGGGGGTTTGTATCCTGTGATCTAAAAAAGAAATTATTTAGTACAAGAAGTGAAGTTAAATAATCCAGTGATCATACCTTGTCATTCATCTCAGGAAAAATTGTGCTCAAGTTGAAATTGGTGAGGCTGGTGCCCGAGGGATGATGACTCATAGTCATTGGATTGCTAGCAACGATTCCTCCCCGTGGCATGTTTGGATTCATGGGGAAACCTGCTGTGGCTACCGTAGGTACACCCTGAGGACCAGCCACAGGTGGTGGCGGCAGTCCGTTCACAGCTTTTGTGTACACGTTTGCCTGTGGATGATTCTGGTAAAGAGGGCTAGCGTGTGGCGGCGGGGGCGGTGGCAAGAACGTGGTCGAGTGATGATAGTCCTCCAACGGCGAATTGATACCGGACAAAGGAAACTCCAAATTCTGCATGGTTCCATCGATACCTTTTCGTTTCCCCTTCTTCACATTGGTGGAGTACGTCCTCTTGTCGCAGTTCTGGTGCTTCCCATAATGCTGATGATTCTTAGCATTAGTATTCACGTTGGAGGTTGAAGTTGTTACCGTAGAGGTAGTCGACGAGGAGTTGGTAGAAGACACAGTTACGTTCGACAGAAGAAAAGCGTTCGCCTCCATGTAGTCAGTGTTATCGTGCAGCGGCATCATGTAACTAGTAGGCGTGTTCGATATGCTGGTGATGAAGTTTGAAGTAGGATAAATGTTCGTGTTCGAGGAATAACTGTACGAATTGAAATTCTGGTTCACCATCTGACCATAACCGCTTCCGTCGTCCGCGTTCGAGAAATAGTTGATGGGCATCACAGTGTCTGCGGTCGGCAGACTGCTTTGGAACTTATTCTGGGAATAATTAGCGGAGAACTTGATAGAGGGATGTTTGTCTTGGTTCGTATCATGAACGCTGTTATTAGTTCCTATTAACGCTTCCGCCGTGTAATTGCTCTTACAATTTCTACTCCTCCAATGAATATTATTCTGCTGATACTTCTGCTGCTGCTGGTATCCCTGTTCAGAGAACGTATGACCCGACGACTTCTGTTCCTCGTGCCTCTGGTGCAAGTGGTCACCCGAATTCTGTTTCCGAATGTCTATCTGTCGCTTGCTATTTCCTCTAGGGCTAGTGTTACTCTTCCTCTGATGTTTCCTAGCCTGCTGCTGCTGTTGTTGTTGCTGTTGCTGCTGTTGTTGCTGCTGCTGCTGCTGCTGATGTTGATGCGCATGGTGGTGATGGTGGTGATGATGATGCTGCTGCTGCTGGTGATGCTGCTGATGAGACTTCTCGGCCTTCTCGTGCTCCACCAGCTGACTCACCGACAGGAACGAGGACCCAGCGCCTGGATGCTGAACAGTTTGATTATTCAGCACAGTATGGAAATCTCGCCCTGCAACATTTCCTTCTTTATCCTTATTAGGGTCCTTGCTCTGGTCAGATGGAACCCTGGCCGGCAAACCGTGGCTGAACAGGAACGTCTGCTTCTCGGGTATGTTGGTACCCAGATCCAGGTCACCGACCAGAGTTGGAAGACTGGAGGGAACAATGTGTTGGTCTATGCCTTTGACTGACTGAGTCTGCTCCACGTGGACGCTGGTCTTTGTGGGAGACCAAGGAAACGGTTGTTCCTCTGAATAGAACACCTCTGAAGTCCTCTTCGATTCACCCTGCAGAACCGGTAAATTAGGAAAACCGTGAGCTGTCACATCATAATTGTTGTAAAACTGGTTAGGTGTTCCCTGGTTGTAGGATGGTGTCTGTGCGAACAGATTATTCTGACAGAATTCAAGCTCCTTGCCAATGGGTGGCAATATGATATCAGCGATGTTGGTGTTGTGCTTAATTTCTGGAGTCATCATCCAATTCACAGGCGCCCTGATTGCATGTTGCTGCTGGTTTCCTTTAGACTTTGTGGCACTCTGCTGCTGTCCATGCTTCCCATTGTTGTACGTGACACTGTCATGTTGAAGGGAAGGAATCTGTCCTTGAACTAGAGGCTGGTACTTGGTCTGACTCTGCTGCTGTTTATCAGGGTACTTGAAGTTAGACCCACTGTAAGCCTCCACAGAGTACTTCATCTGACTGCTGACTTCAGGCAACTCAAAATTCACCTGAGAATCGTAACCGGACATCGGGTAAACAGCTTTGTCGTGCTTCGTGGCTATAGTCTGGTGATTCTTCGGCGCATGTTGCTGCTGCTGATCCATTCCAGAGTACTCGTTCTGAATGTACTCCGACTCGATACCATACTTGGACTTTTTGTTCTCTGCACTATATTTATTGTAATCGTTATTACCCGAAGAAGTTTGGTTTTGCATACGACTTTGCTTACCCGATGGGACATTAGTTTGAATATTTCTTGCCTTTGTGGGGTCTACGTACGACTGTTTCTGCGCGTCCATTCCATTCTTCATTCTGGACTTATCAACGTTGGCCATAGTCGAGTTCGCCGAATAAACATCATTATTCAGAACGTTTGAGAAGCTTGAATTTTCCTTGTGCAGAGGAACGTAGCTATAATTCTCGCAGATTGTCTTCGCTTCAGTGTTGTCCGTCTGATTAGGCCCTTGGTCAAAGTGCACCAGATTGTTACCGCCACCTCCACTGACCGGGGAGAAAGTCGTCCACGACAGGATACTGAAATTGGAAGAGTTATGAGCGACTGTGGTTGTCGACTTCGCGTGATTCTCAGTGACGGTACTCTGCTCGTAATTGGAGGTAGCCACAAAGGAAGTCGGCTGCTGCGAGTAACGTGTCACCGCCGTGTTCTGTATGAGAGGTTTACTATTCATGCTATTTGATGAACTAGTGTTCTTCTTCGCATCCTTGGAGTAATTAGAATAGCTCTGATCGTCTCGCTTTCCTTGAAACATATTATCATTGTTCTGGTTGAGTACATTTTGATCAGCCTGCGTGCTGATCGACTCCTTCACTCCGTACGAGAAGGTCTGAGCAAACGGATCGACATCCATCTTCTTAGACGTATAATTTGTATCACGCCTATGATCCTGCGCCTCCGGTTTCGACCTTAACTCGTTCATCTTCGGATCCTCCACATTAGTCACCGTAGAGTCCGTCTCCTTCGTCATTTTTGAAAAACTACGCTGAAAGTGAGCCTCCGACGAGTTTGGTATCAGCTCCTTCGTGGAGTAGCTTTGATTCCTATTGGACGCAGTCGCATTGCCCGTCGAGTACGGTATCGAGTCCTTTCGGGACAGATTCTTATTCTGATCTACTGCATACTCATTCTGAATGATGTCCTTCTCATGCACTGTGTACGTCTGATTCTGATGCGACAAACCATGAGTGTCTTTAGGCTGCGACTCGTAAACGGTTTGCATAGCTTGCGAAGATAAGACAGACAGAGAAGCGTCCTTAGACTGCATGTACTCTTGCTGGATGTTCTGAGAAGAGTTTGGAAGAACCCTGTCGATGTGTCCACTGTAACTGAGTCCATTATTAGGCACAATGTTGTTGTCTATCAGAGGATCCTTACCATGAATCTCATAGGCGATACGAGAACTGTCGGAATTCTTCTCCTTTATCTGGGACGCGTAATCTATTTGCATGGACTGCATAGGCAGAGGCGCAGAGTTCGCTGTAGTTGTAGTGTTGGTCAAATGAGCCATGGTTTGGGACACGTCAGTAACATTCTGATTCAATGAAGAATTTTCTTGAGTGGTTGTACTGCTGCACACTGTGGGATTCTGTTGCATTGGAAGGTTGTCCACAATCGTTGAGTAGGTTGACAGAAAGTCTTGAGAGCTGGAGTACCTAACGTTGGTGTCACATGTGGATGCTTGAACTGGACACGCCTGCTCTGTTTTATTGGAGACTTCAATTTGAGAAGCATCAGTGGTAGTGTTCTGTAAGCTGGTTGCGAGTTGATTGCAATGTCCAGTCTGCGAGCTGGTGACTGAAGTGGTACTTGACGCAATGGAGTACAGAGTCTGAGAGAAGGAACTCGTAGCAGGCTTCTCTAACGAAGGTGCCAGCACAACCTTGTAAGGTTCTCTGAGAGGTTCGTTGCTCACCAACTTAGGCAAAGCTTTTGTGGTTGTACATTCTACGGACACAATCATGTCAGAGTTCACTGCTTCGCTCACAGGAGGATTCTTCTTCTCTTCGTAGGTGACCTTCAGACGTTTCTCAGCAATGGTATGAGAGGACGTCTTTATTTTGAAACTATTGGGTTCCATGGTTCCAATCTGTAGGAGCATGGGTGGAGTCTGGCTGTGGTATTTAAAATCGTCTTTCATCTCCTCTTCCAGAACCTCCGTCTTGCCATTTAAGGAAGACACCAATGGGAACGCCATTAGAAACGCCGCCGTAGGAGATATGGACTCCGGGTTATGTGAACTTGAAGGTACTTGAAGAGAGGCGAATATGTCGTTAGAGAGGTCCGAGTGAAGACCATCAGCCCTACTACCAATCGGTACAAAAGAATTCTCTGTATTATATGACAGAGACGTTTTCGATACCTCATCTTTTGATGCCTTGAGCTTAGAGTCATCCTCCACTATGTTCACTGGAAGCAGAGACGATGACGGCGTCGCATCTGAGGTCTGAACATTAGTCTCCGGCTTCAGAGTTGTCGTGGTGTTCGTGTCAAGATTCAGAATGATTTTATTGTTTTCCAAGTTGTTTGCTCCTTCAACAGGGTCCGCCTCTTTAGGCGTCACTTCTAGCAGGTTGTCAAGCTCTGTGCCAAGATTACATACTTCCTTCATCTTCTTAGTTTCGGACTCTTCAACCTCTTCAACTTCTGTCAAAGGTGATTTAGAGTTAGGGTGACTGATTTCGATGTTTGACTTTTCTAACGCGTTGTCTACAGGAATATTGAAGTCCGTTTCTGGAGGAATTGGTATCTCGCTGGTAGGTTTCAGATGCTCGTCCGAGAAGGTGACTGGTGGCGTGTCTGAAATTGATACTTGAGTTCTTTTTTGGATGTCCGGTTTTAACACGTCTGTAGATTTAGAAGAATCGATGTCCTCTTGGTTATTGGTGCACAATAAAACTGGGCAGTCAGTAGTTTCGGTACAAGGTTCCCTGTCACTTGACGGAGCCAGACTTTTCTCTTTTCCTTCATTTGTATCTTCACCTATCTTCTCTATTACATGCTTCAAGTTTTCAATAGATTTACAAGTCACAGTGAAATCTGGTTTTGAGACGGACACTGTTTGCACCTGAATGTTAGCTTCATTTTCATTAGTCTTTCTTTTCTTATCGTCAGGTTCCTCCGTAGAGTCAGTCTCCATATTCGAAACTCGCTTAAGAGATCCTTTCTGAACAGAATTATTTTCCACGCTTTTCACACCCTTCTCTTTATCACTCTTCTCTTCTGTTGCTTCTGTAGGCTGACTCTTCACATTCTTAGCATTTTTATTAACTTTTACTTTTACTTGAGTGTCTTTCTTAGTCGAGTCTTTCGATTTCTCTAACTTCTCTTTATGGACAGCCGGAATAGGAACTTTGTACGTCATCGTAGTTTTAGTAACCTCTTTACCTTTTGGCAGAATACCTTTGTGACCACCAATCTTCGTCGCGTTAATTATATTTTTCACGTTGGACGCCCAATTCTGGGAATCGACGACCATGTTTGCACGGATGCTTGGCACCGTATTCAACGTAACTTTTTGTACCGTATTGATTAAAGTTTGATTACAAATTGGAACTACAGGATTTTGTACACGATTCGTTAATGGTTGCATAACGATCATCTGATTTTGTTGAGCATTACCAAGAATTATGGGATTCGCTGGTTGTTGCTGAGTATTTACAATGATGTTTGACGTCATAGGAGTTACCAGAGGCATTAATTTACCGCCTGATAAAATGAGAGTGTTCGGAGTTAGACTAGTCACGGAATTATTTACACATGGCGCGGGCGACTTCTTCTCTTCCTTTTTCTTCGTTTTCCTCTTTACTTTTTTCTGGGATTCTACTTTCTGCAATGCTGACAATAACACATTTTATTATATATACTTCATGAAAGAAGTATGACATCTTTTTATACCTACCATTATTTGTTTTACTGCTAACAGAACGAGTGACTGCTGCATTGGAACCTAATAAACAAGAAATAATAAAAAAACATGTATATACAATAAAATGTAGCAATATAATTGTGAGGTAATTACTTGTATTAGTCTGGCAGCATTCTGATTCCTTTGAACCATTTTCTGATATATTGCCTGTTGCATCTGCACCATCATCTTTACTATTTACACAATTCACCTGATTCTCCTGGTTTTCTATCGAGTTATTCACATCTTTAGAAACATTGCTATTTTCCAGTAACTTTTTACTAGACGAGTGAGAAGAATTAACTGATTTCCTTTTAGAAGGCACTTTAAGTTCAGCAGACTTTTCCCTCTTACTTTCAGAATTCTTTACTGGAATGAAACATGCACATTTAAAATCATTTCCACCTTCATTAACCCTTTTGCTACGAATATGTGCCACAACAAAAGAGTTAGATGTTTCTTAACACTCTTACTTTCTTCTATTTTACTGAAATACTTCTCTGCATCTTCCACGTTGATCTTGTTAGACCACTTCAAAGGAGATATCTTTTCCAGAGCTGGTTCTGCAGGCACAGATATTCCAGCTTCCTTTAGAAGCGTAGATAACAGTTGAGTACGAGAGAAAAGCTGAATCACTAGCTTTTTTAAACGAGCCAGTTCTTCCTCTGGTTGTAAGCAATAACAAGAACATTGGAAAAAAGAAATAAGTATTTACAAATCATACAGAGTTAAGTCATATATCCATGGTTTCCATCTTGAAGTCTGCTTACTGTGCGCTTCTGAAGCATGAGCCGAGAACAATTCTCCTGTACGATTATGGAGGTCTTTGATGTACTTTGAGGCCTGGATCAGGATGTCGACCTTGTTGCGTTTCCGACCTTCCTGATTCGGTGGCAAAAGATCTGCCAGAGTTTTGAAGTATGTGTTCATACGTTTTCTTCTGTCTCGCTCCCATGTTTTCGCCTTGCTAAGAAGAGGTTCACGTTAACGATCACTTTGTCTGACGCAGAACACGTCTTCGTAGAGAGAAGACTACTGAATGATTGTTAAGGTTAGAAAACAGTTAATGGACACTTACGTGTTCTCTTTTCGAGGCATAATTTATCCTTTTGGCATCGTTTTGCAAGAAGTACGCGCTGCGAGAAGCGCAGATGCGTCACTTGTGGCTGACATTGCACACACTCCGCGATTTTTGCCGAATTTTTGACATTTCGATCATCCGAGCGATTCGATCGCGGAATACGCGAAATAAAAACTCCGCTGGACCGACGTCCAGAGTCACAGTCGTTTAAACCTAGCCGCCATCTATCGATTCCCTTATACTCGCTTTTTTACGTCTTTACCGATAATGTCAGTTATGGTTACTTCTCAAGATGGCTAAAATACTGCTTATTTATTATTTTACAAAGTTTAAAATATTTTAAAAGTCTTATTCTCGTATGATTCTCGAAATTCATGTACAGGAGTGCGCTATGTGAGAATAGGGTACTGGAAGAAATGAAACTATGAAAATAATTTTTGTATTTACTGGCACTATCGCTTTTGTAGCACTTGAAAGACAATTAAAAACTAATTATAATTGCAATTAAAAAGGGTATTGTTATTTATTTCCGGTGAAAAAACAAATTTTAATTGAATTTGTTCGGAAAAGGTACAAGTGGCGCCATCTAGCGGTGAACGGTGGAACTAACGAAACACAAAATTGCGATTTTCTCAAAAAATAGAAATTTTTACGCAATTCTGAGACGTGCATCGTGTTCTACGTGATGAATTCTATTAAAAAAGTGTCATTATAATACGCTAAAATCGTTAATAAGGAAATTGGAAAATATAGCATTTTATGGACCTTAAAAAGCTTAGCCATCTAGCGGTGAAAGTTGGAACTAATTAAGGTGGTACTCCAGATGGCTGTAGTTCACCCTGTTCGCCGGAGAGATGGCGCCACCAGTACTATTTTCATACCAGATCAATTAAAATCCCTTTTTTTGACTCAAATAAGCAATAATATGCCTCAAATTGCAGTTTAAAATAATCTTTAAACATTTTTCTACCCCTAACAATACAGTAATACCAATAAATACAAAAATTGTTTCCGTTTTTTAGTTTTATAAGTTGCCGCTCCCTACTGTAAGATGGCAGACGGTTTTGCGGACCATGGTAATTAGCGTTTTTATTTTTTACTTTCTACTTTTTGAATTAGGTACTTTCTTACCATATATGTTCTTTTATTTCGAATTCAGGGAGACTGCATTCTTTGAACTGGTTTTTTATCTACACTTGTTAATGGATTATTAAGTTTTCTACTTTATCTTCCTAAAACTGTACAGCATTGTTGGTAATGCAAAATAATGAAGAGACTATTTTTGGAGGGAAAGATTTATTATCGAAATACATAGTATTTATAATGTTGCATGTGCTACATTATTTACAGGTAAATGTTTGTTTACAGGAAATGAATTGAAGGAATATTTATTAGAAGACTTTTCCACAATAATAAGAGAATTATTTTTTGTGCGATTTGGTCGGTCAGTAGCCTGCGAGATATAACACTCCTCACCATTTTGGTATTTTGTTGATGGGAAGTGCCAACAGATTGTGCAATCTTACAATTAGTGGAACGCGGTGCATTCGTTGCGACGGAATAATCGCGAAGATACGTCGCAAAGAATCGCACGTAGCCGCGATGCGAAATGCATTCGAATGTCAACAGAGAACGCCTTGAGAGTGTCATCAATGCAAATCGACGATGACGGCTACGGAAATAAATCCGCAACAACGATGTACATGATCGCAGCGTATAAATACTTGACACTAGCATGCAATTTAGTAAGTCATTCTTTCTAGGGTCCTGTATAAAAAAGGGTATCCCGCTAGACATACATGTTTTTCCACTTTTGTTAGAATGAACGGAATTTCAAGGGTTTGCACACCGTTTATTTGGCAACGCTGCACGCTGCATATTTCACTGTCAGCCTGTTTACAATAAAATTAACTCTCGCTCGTAAGGAATAAACAGATACCAGATCAATTAAAATCCCTTTTTTTGACTCAAATAAGCAATAATATGCCTCAAATTGCAGTTTAAAATAATCTTTAAACATTTTTCTACCCCTAACAATACAGTAATACCAATAAATACAAAAATTGTTTCCGTTTTTTAGTTTTATAAGTTGCCGCTCCCTACTGTAAGATGGCAGACGGTTTTGCGGACCATGGTAATTAGCGTTTTTATTTTTTACTTTCTACTTTTTGAATTAGGTACTTTCTTACCATATATGTTCTTTTATTTCGAATTCAGGGAGACTGCATTCTTTGAACTGGTTTTTTATCTACACTTGTTAATGGATTATTAAGTTTTCTACTTTATCTTCCTAAAACTGTACAGCATTGTTGGTAATGCAAAATAATGAAGAGACTATTTTTGGAGGGAAAGATTTATTATCGAAATACATAGTATTTATAATGTTGCATGTGCTACATTATTTACAGGTAAATGTTTGTTTACAGGAAATGAATTGAAGGAATATTTATTAGAAGACTTTTCCACAATAATAAGAGAATTATTTTTTGTGCGATTTGGTCGGTCAGTAGCCTGCGAGATATAACACTCCTCACCATTTTGGTATTTTGTTGATGGGAAGTGCCAACAGATTGTGCAATCTTACAATTAGTGGAACGCGGTGCATTCGTTGCGACGGAATAATCGCGAAGATACGTCGCAAAGAATCGCACGTAGCCGCGATGCGAAATGCATTCGAATGTCAACAGAGAACGCCTTGAGAGTGTCATCAATGCAAATCGACGATGACGGCTACGGAAATAAATCCGCAACAACGATGTACATGATCGCAGCGTATAAATACTTGACACTAGCATGCAATTTAGTAAGTCATTCTTTCTAGGGTCCTGTATAAAAAAGGGTATCCCGCTAGACATACATGTTTTTCCACTTTTGTTAGAATGAACGGAATTTCAAGGGTTTGCACACCGTTTATTTGGCAACGCTGCACGCTGCATATTTCACTGTCAGCCTGTTTACAATAAAATTAACTCTCGCTCGTAAGGAATAAACAGAATGAACCAGAGGAAGGGTTCACCGGACGTATCTTTATGAGAATACAATTTTTCACAATGCCAGAGGTATTTGTTAATTTTTCAAATTGAGTGCAAAGTTCTGAATGATTTGCAGGTATCTCCCTAGAGGATTTCTAAGTATAACCTTCCACCATTTGTTTCTTAGCTCAACTTAGAACCCCCTTCAAAGAACATGAATCAAGAGAATTACCGACATCCATTCCAGGCTAGATCATAGCGAGTATATTTTCTAGGTTATGTAATGAATTTTAACCGACTTCTTCATTACTCAGAAATTGAAAGAACACGTTTATACTTGCAGAGTAGAGTGCGGCCATACATCACGGACGTATTTATACACGCGGAAACCCGTGCGAAACTCTGTTCTTCAACAACGACGCGGCGTCGCGCGTGCGGCACTAATTAATGATTTAAGCAACACTAAGCGGCCGAGTTTCGTAGCGTACGACTCTCACGCGTCTGCGTTTACGCTTCTCGAAGCCAGCGGCGAAGGTACGCGCCACGTATAATTACAATCATCTCGTGAGAATCATTTATGCAATTAGCGGTCTCGCCTTTCAGGAAGCGTTCGAAGAAAACATGCCCGCGGTATACCGATCCTCTCGTTTTCTGCAAACCATCGGTAAGCGAGACTCTTTGGGAACCTTGGCTCTCTTCCCAAACTTCGTCAGGTTCACGAGTACCTCCGAGAACAATGTTGTTTCTGTCCCACGCCAATGTAACAGAATACGGAGTGTAAGCTATACGTGTTTGTTTAATGAGCAAGGATGGAACCCGCGTAACATGATTACATTAGTCCATCGCTTATTGGGACAATATTATCTTTACTTCGTGAAAGGAATCGGGCTTATTTTTATTTTCTTCGACCTTTATTAGATTAAGTATAACTATGATTTACTAGTTCACTAGTTTTGCTAAGTCTCGTCTAATTTCAGGCATCATCATATGGCTTTTGGAAATTCTAGCATGTGGACTTTTGAAGACTTATATTTACATTTACATTAATATTTTACATCATACGTTTGTCATATCCGACTTCACTTTAAAGGGTTCAGACCCTGCTAAGGTAACTTTGCTGCTATACTATTGTATCCTAGTTATTATTATAATAGTGTCTTGAACGTAGGGGAAGTCGTCACGACAGCGACGAAGAAAGCCTTGAAGCGATAAGGGTTGGCGACTCGGTGACGACAAGAAGAAAAATTCGTGAGGGTGGCCCTCGAGGGGATGTCCGCAGGATTTCGCCCAGCTGGCAAAGCGAGGCCAAGCCGACACTGGTATTGATTACGAAGGAAGACCGCACCCTCTGCCACCCTTTTGCTCGGGCCTCGACGTAACGGGGTTGGCCAACGGCAAACGCTGCGATACACTGCATCGAGAGAGAAATCCTGCGCAGTCGTCGCTGAATCTCTGCGACTGCCCCTCTATTCAGACTCCAGACGATCAATTCTCGCACCCTCATGCCAAGGAAATTCACTTCTTTTGTCTGCATTTTAAGATACCTTTCTTTTCATACTTTGCTGAAGACATTCTATGCCCATAAATTAACGTTGCAGTAAAAAATACTTCGTCTTAAAGAAAGCTATTGTAGAAGAAATATGAGTACAAAATGTTAGCAACAATTCTTGAAGGTTGAAGCGGTACGAAGTATATGCAAATATGATTTGTGTAGCAGCATAAATATGAGAAGAGATGATGTTTCATTGCAGCTTTCAAAATGGAGTAAAAGCCATTCCGCATTGCCAAATTTAGGGATGAACCAACCCCTCGGAGGGATGCTGCTCCAATCAGAGCCACGTTCCCCTATGGGGCATCTCGCGAATCAGATCTGCGCAGCATCCCTTCGGACCAACCCCTGCAAGAAAAATGGCGGACACCTATGCCTTCGAATTAATTCGTACATCGATGCACATCGACAGGAACTAATTTGTCGGAAAGGGGAAAGGCCAATTACTGGAATATCGAGACCTTCGAGACACGGTGGTTGGCGATATTCGTGGTTGATGATCTCGAATATATTATCGAGGATGAAGAGAGAGTCCCTCTCTGTTTATAAGCATCGTTGATTTCAGATACGAGGCTGCAGCGTTCCAGAAGCCTCGAGCCTCTTTCGCGGTGGCTGGTTTGGACTCGCCCAACCGGTAGTGTGGTCGAGGAACCAGTGAACGTCCTCCTTTTTGCCCCTTTTTTCGACCCGTTTTCATTGACATGAGATATGAACGGTTCTAAGAAATTAATATCGCCGATACGCGATGCACGATCGCTTTAGCCATCGAGAGCAACTGGAATTCGCCGATTAATTTCGACGATTGTAGCTGATTGCTATTAAGTGAATTTGGTGGATGCACTTTTGTATTACTGCAGTAGACACTTTGCAAAATTTAGAGAAGCTTAGACTTGTGGATATCTCAAGAATACACCTTAACTGGAACTTAACCTAACCTGACTTTGAGGAACTTAATGCAGTACCTTAGAACTGGAACTTAACCTAACATAACTTTGGAGAACTTAATGCAGTACCTCAGAACTGGAACTTAATCTAACTTAACTTTCAGGAACTTAATGCAGTACCTTAGAACTGGAACTTAACCTAATATAACTTTCAGGAACTTAATGCAGTACCTTAGAATTGGAACTTAACCTAACATAACTTTGGAGAACTTAATACAGTACCTCAGAACTGGAACTTAATCTAACTTAACTTTGAGGAACTTCATACAGCACCTTAGAACTGTAACTTAACCTAACCTAACTTTGGAGAACTTAATGCAGTACCTTAGAACTGGAACTTAACCTAATATAACTTTCAGGAACTTAATGCAGTACCTTAGAACTGGAACTTAACCTAATATAACTTTCAGGAACTTAATGCAGTACCTTAGAATTGGAACTTAACCTAACATAACTTTGAGGAACTTAATGCAGTACCTTAGAATTGGAACTTAACCTAACATAACTTTGAGGAACTTAATGCAGTACCTTAGAACTGGAACTTAATCTAACCTAACTTTGAGGAACTTCATACAGCACCTTAGAACTGTAACTTAACCTAACCTAACTTTGGAGAACTTAATGCAGTACCTTAGAACTGGAACTTAACCTAACATAACTTTGAGGAACTTAATGCAGCACCTTAGAACTGTAACTTAACCTAACCTAACTTTGGAGAACTTAATGCAGTACCTTAGAACTGTAACTTAACCTAACCTAACCTTAAGGAACTTAATGCAGTACCTCACAGCTTAACCTAACCTACAGCTAGCATCCACATTAAGAGTTGAGTATAGAGAAACCTTAACTAAGCTTCAGCCAAGACTTAAATTGAAAGTATACCTAAACCCAGCTAAGTGCATAGGATTGGCACTTCTTGAAGGAGCTGTAGCAGTTCGTAGAAACATTCGTTGGGCTACCTACACGAACAGGCCCCGAGGGACCGATCGGTCTGGCCATATTTGTCCACGGAGGCCACGAGAAGGCTGACGTCACCAAGGGTCGCGTTCTCCCGCAGACGTACTTGTCCTAGACGTGTTTCGTCTATGGATCTCTCGGTCACCAGGCCATTTTCAATCTTTACTTGATTTTAGTGGGAATGTAGCTGTTCCTTAACTGGTCACAATGACTCAATAGAGCACAAGGCTGACCTTATTCGAGAGACGTTCTTTTAATAATTAAAATATAAATACGGTGGTTGGATTGTTTAAGGGTAAGTAAATGTTGATGGATAATATTTTAAGATTGTTCTAAGTACTTGTTTAAAGTTTTAGATCGATGAGCTCTGAACAAGGTCGATGACAGGAAAATCGAATGGCAGACCGAACGGTATTTCGAGGGAACGAACCTCGACGCGAGGAACTTCTCGCCGACTTCCGGTTGCTTGCAATCAAGTTACAGAGACGTGACCGGCCGATTAAATCTACGCTAACGTCTGTCTACGCTTACGTGTCCATCTCTAAATAGCCACATTGTACTCTCTCGATTCACAAGTGTAAAACGTTAGAAAGTCAATTTCATGTTATTTTAACATATTCTAGCAAATAACAGTGGTATGTTACAGGTGCGGAATGAAAGAATGAAGGAAATGTACGACTAGGTACCTGGGAATGCGAAGGAAAAACACTTAGGAATGTTCTTGGAATGGCAGAGGAGGATATCGCCAAAATACAATCAAAGGAACAATCATTTCCAACAGCTCATCAAATAATACTTTGAGAAACGGTTAAATGCCTACTGGGAAGCATAGGTCACTCGGAACGTTAGCTAGTTGACCCTCTTCAAAAATAGAGGGTTGTTTCGTAACGGCAGCCAGTCAGAATGACTAATATTCCCAAGAATCATCGAAAGCGTTCTTCACCTGGCTTTCACGAATGCGAGACCTAACGAATCGATTCGTTAGACACGGCTAAGAGTAAACAAGCCCGTATAACTCGTATACATAATTTGATCGGTGCCCACATTAATATTAATGATATCGTTTCCTCCCCGCTCTTCACTTTTGTTTTCCTACTCTCTCTACTCGCCTTTCTCTCTTCCTCATTTTTCACTTCTTCGTCAAAACATTATCGCCAGTTGCCAGGCGCGTGAATGTAAATAGGAAACGCGAGGACAAAGAAAATGGAAATCTTCGACAGTCGCGAATATAATAAGACCATATTCTGTTTTTGCAATGTAACGCAGCCTCGTCGCGACTGCAAATGGTAATTGGACTCGAATGGCCGCGTTTCAATGCACGACGAGGTTACGCGACACCTTACCAAAGGTCAAGAGGTTCTCTATGAACCAACACCGTTTCTTTGTACCATTTCTGTCGTCACTCTTTTCAAAGCCTTGTTGAAATTATTAGTCTAGGCTCACATGCTCCATAGCATTTTCTAAATTATGCTATATATTCTATATACATACTGTAATCCACTGTAAAAACTTTGTATTTGCAATATATATTGCTCACAAGGTGGAATCAGACATGAACATTCTTAGGCATCACTAATCTTGCAGGGTACCAAGGTATAACTTTAGCAAGGCATAAGGTATATCTTCAGGTACATTCCTATCTACCTATGTACCTATGTTTCATTTTGTACATGTCACCACCTATGTGTATATTTCAGAATATCCACTATACACAACTTTGTATTTGGAAGGTGCCTACATGTTGCTCACAAGGTGGAATCAGACATCAACATTCTTAGGCATCACTAATCTTGCAGGGTACCAAGGTATAACTTTAGCAAGGTATAAGGTATATCTTTCAGGTATATTCCTATCTACCTATGTATATTTCATTTTGTACATGTCACTGTCTACATGTATATTTCAGACTATCCACTAATCATAAGTTCCAATTGGACTGTCTAGCTGTACAATGATAGTCGTGGAATTTTTGCAAAGCAATTTCTTGCGGGGACACTGTTCTTGCACAGCAAATGGACCAGTTAGATCGGAGGCAATCTTCTGGAACCTGTTGCGCCATTGCTTCCTGAGCGCTGATTAATAGGACACCTGAACCATATATCATACATATGAACTTGTTTTCTTCTCGTAAGAAACTCATGCAAATTCTATCAGGGCGATAAAAATTACACGCGTATTACAAGTTGAGTATTTTTTTGCTGTAACGCGTCAGAGCGACAAGTAACGGTAACGATAAAGAATTTTCTATTTCGAATCGGATTACAGGGGAGCAATTCATGAGGCGTTAAAAGGTCATTCCCGAATCATCTGTACCCTTCGTAATGACCCAGATACGACGTTTTAAGCGTAGCACAGTTTAGCGCCGGTAAGTGTACATAAATCACACGGAAGACAACGAGCAGGAAATGAACGCATGCCAGACAACATTGATTTACAGACGGGCAGTTCGGGAAAGTATGAACGCTGTGTAGAACAATTTGTTTGTTGTTTAACAATTAACTGAATGAGTAGATTAAACAAACGTGAAGGTATGCATTTACACGTTACTTTAGGTGTCGACCTCGCTCTAGCTTGACCGTTTGAAACACCGTTTTAGGTCGTCGATTCATCAGTGACGAAGAAATTGAGAAATCGTAACGCCATACACAGTGAATTCGAGCTATCGCACGATCTATGTACAACTGGGCTTCGAGTGACCACATTGTTCCTGAGGAAATAGCAGTGCAACGTTACAGGAGATACGCATATTATAGGATACAGTCTGTGTATACATAGATAAATAGATACTGAGAGATAGATAGATACTGAGAGATAGATAGATGCTGGGAGATAGATAGATACTGAGAGATAGACAGATGCTGAGAGATAGACAGATGCTGAGAGATAGACAGATACTGAGAGATAGATAGATACTGAGAGATAGATAGGTGCTGAGAGATAGATAGATACTGAGGGATATATAGATACTGAGAGATAGATAGATACTGAGAGATAGATAGATATTCAGATACATAGATACTGAGATACAGACATACACAGATACATAGATACATAGATACATAGCTACATAACTACATAACTACATAGCTACATAGATTCAGAGATATATAGATACATAGATACATGGATACATAGCTATACATATAACTACATAACTACATAGCTACATAGATACATAGATACATAGCTACATAACTACATAACTACATAACTACATAGCTACATAGATACAAAGATACATAGATACATAGCTATACATATAACTACATAACTACATAGCTACATAGCTACATAGCTACATAACTACATAGCTACATAGATACATAGCTACATAACTACATAGCTACATAGCTGCATAGATACATAACTACATAGATAATTGGGGTTAGAGAAAATACTCGTTAAAGAAATCTGTCCGTCCGCCATTGCCCTAATCTCCCCAGGCCGATTAGCAAAGCTTTCCACATGCTATCAGTAGGTTATTACGCTGAACAGAGATAGGGTGTTTACGTGGTGTTTCGCGGCGAACCGTGACAACCCTGACTCTGCTTCGATTTGTAGGGGCCTGACAGATAACCTCTCGCTCTCCGCGGATTGCTTTTTCGATCCTACGGAATTTCTGTCCGTGCCGATGTATTTATAAACCTGATTCACGTGTCCACCGCCTCGCGATTTCGAATCCTTGAATGTATGGGCCACGGTTGCTATGCCAGAAAGATCGTCGCGGAATCTTGTTGACATTATGATCGACAAGACGCGATATGACAGCTCTAGCTTCAATCTTTATGCTACTGCGTTTTATCACTGATGTCAGTACATATAGAGTTAGGCGATAGCTTTACATATTGCATGCCTACTACATTATTTATATTTATATTCATCTTTATTCACATGCAAGTCTATATTTCTACAACGCCATTTGCTACGTATTCTCAGGTATATAACAAGTTATTCATATTCCAAGGTATCACCATGTACTTCATAAACATCTACATTTTCAGGTTCTTCAGGTGCTTCTACTGAGTCTACATTGCATGTCCACATACCACACTGCCAACATTTAAAGATATCTACAGTGTCTGCGTTGTAGAGTACCTATATTCCTAGATGCAACATTCCAGAAGGCTTACATTGCACTTTGTGCTTGTATTCCACAATGTCTACAGTCTATACTACATCCAGCTCATGCAGAGAAACATGTCAAGCGACAACACCGGGAATCGTTAAACGAGATTATAATTCTAAAAGCTTTCTATCGATGCTGATGAGGCGATAGTCCTATCCAACCGGAAATCATAACGGGAGTCTATCGGATTCACGAAGGTCCCAGAGGAAATCACCTCTCGTCACCTCGCCCGCGCGTGCGCTCTGTTCCTAGCTAATCGAATGCGAGCCAAGGGAAACGTGGCTGCATGGCCACGATAGTCATTAAATGTGATTTGAAAGTAAGAAGCGTACAGCGGAAGCAAGTGGCTCGTTGTCAATGAATATGTAGGTTGGCCCTCGACCTCGTGCCTCCATATGCGTATCCTCTGACAATGCATGCGCGAACGTGTAAGCTCATCGCTGTTCCGATGAGCAGGCGTGTAGATTAATCGATAACGAGACCAACTGCCAGTTTGACTGTACGAATTTCACTGAACTTTGGCAATTTTTTTTAGGAAGGTTCAAGGATGAAAGGAATGGTGGACATTGAAATGAGAGCTTGTTTGAATAATGCATGCAAGGTACAAGTTTGCTTGCCTGGGTTCTGCAATACCTTGATCTCTGGATGTATTTATTTATGCTTTGGAAGAAGATGCATGCTGATTTCTAGTAAAATCTAGCTTCAACTGAGTTAAGTAGAATCCAAGGACCAGTTCTACTCAATTGAGCTGTCAACTTAAGCCTTGGTCAATGGAGAATTTAAATACTGTAATATGGACTATACAGAAGTTCTAAAAGGCTAGAACTTGGTACTGAAGGCAAGGTACTGAAGACATGGTACTGAAGGCAAGGTACTGAAGGCAAGGTACTGAAGACAAGGTACTGAAGACAAGGTACTGAAAACAAGGTACTGAAGACAAGGTATTGGAGGCAAGGTACTTAAGGCAAGGTACTGAAGACAAGGTATTAAAGACAAGGTACTGAAGGCAAGGTACTGAAGCTAAGGCACTGAAGGCAAGGCACTGAAGACATGGTACTTAAGGCAAGGTACTGAAGTCAAGGTACTGAAGACAATGTACTGAAGGCAAGGTACTGAAGACAAGGTACTGAAGGCAAGGTACTGAAGTCAAGGTACTGAAGACAAGGTATTAAAGACAAGGTACTGAAGGCAAGGTACTGAAGACAAGGTACTAAAGACAAGGTACTGAAGGCAAGGTACTGAAGCCAAGGCACTGAAGGCAAGGTACTGAAGGCAAGGCACTGAATGAAAGGTACTGAAGGCAAGGTACTGAAGACAAGGTACTGAATGAAATTTAGGTTTAACTGATGACTTTCATGAACCTTAAATGTATGAATATTTATCTAGGTTGCAACTGGCCGTTCATAAAAAGACTTAGCTAATTGGATCAGTGAAGAAAAAGAGTCAGGAAGCGAGAAAAGATTTTATAATAATTTTATGCGCATTCCATCGTCGGACCCACGCCCACAAAGAGGAAGAGGCGAATGCGACAACGCCGAGCGAAAGCTACCGAGTTATTTTCGACACAGTGGTTTAAACATAGACGAGATCTTCCGACTCTCCGCGACGTGAAACGATACCGGTAGCTTACAGTATGCATAAATATCGACCTTGCTATTTTAAATTTTAATCTAAGTTGCACGACAAACATGGACTACCGAAGTCCAAAGGCACAAGCAGTTAATTGTAACTATTACCGATGATACACAAAAGTAACCTTCAACCAATGGAACTAATTAGCTCATTAAGAGCCGTGACGGTCGTTGAATATCTATCTTCAATTACCAGCTGCAACATTGTCGAGGAAAACAATGTATTGCCTTCAGTGTGGCCTTCGTGAAAATTTTGTGGACGATATAACGAAAGTCTACTGTAATTTTCACTTTCGTTACGCAACTCGGCAAGAAATCTGAACGGGTCGAAGGTTGCGATAGGTTCGCACTTTGCTTCGTGATCGTAAACACGTAACGACGCGTGTTATGTCGTCGTGGCGGCGTCATCGAGCGGAGAACGTCAGATTCGCTATTATTAGCTATTAGTGTAGATCGACTTTCGAAACTTTGATCGTTTAAAAATTTTCGAGATCATTGGTCGTGGCGACGTATAATTGCAGAGCGTGTCGACGTTATTAATCGTTGCGCGAGAAAAACGCGCTCGTGTCCCTGCTCGACAGGTGCGGGAAAAGGAGAGGAACGTTGAAATTCTTCGTTCTGCTTGGCGAACGTTCTACCCGCTTAGAATCTTGCTCGGCCACTCGAGCGTATTAATAGCGCGTGATTTTCCGCGTTTTTTCGATGCTCACGCGATTTTCCGACCGCTCGACCCATCTTTTTACTTGCCTTTCATGAATGAACATTTTCTTCGAATTGTATACTGTTTCTCTTATTTGGATTATCTAGGAATTGTTTGAGGGTGCATTTATGATACGAGGTTCAATACAAGGTTTATAAACAAGCTACTTTTTCAGGTAGATTCATGATGCGACTAATTGGCTGATTCAACTGCGTTAGGATAAAGAAAGTGCATCATGCAGCACGCGATAGAGCGTAAATCGAGAGTCGGACCGTGTGCCAAGTGCTGTCTCGTTGGATTTTCCGGCTCGCTTGCGAATGCAGCTTGTGCTGTTCTATTTGCTGGAACCTGCGACTGTTTGCTTAACTTCAGTGCTTCTGTTGATGCTTTACTTCAGTATTTCAACTTTAGTTTATACTTTACTTTGGTATTTAACATCAACTTCAGTTGAGACTTTACTTTTGTACTTAACTGCAACTTCAGTTGATACTTTACTTTAGTACTTCAACGTCAGTTGATGCTTTATTTCAGTACTTAACTTTAGTTAATATTTTAGTTGATACTTCAGTACTTAACTTCAACTTCAGTTGATACTTTACTTCAGTACTTAGCTTCAACTTTAGTTGATACTTTATTTCAGTATTTAACTTCAACTTCAATTGATACTATACTTCAGTATTTAACTTCAGCTTCAGTTGATACTTTACTTTAGTATTTAACTTCAACTTCACTTGATACTTTACTTCAGCACTTAACTTCAACTTCAGTTGATACTTTACTTCAGCACTTAGCTTCAACTGTAGTTGATACTTTATTTCAGTATTTAACTTCAACTTCAATTGATACTATACTTCAGTATTTAACTTCAGCTTCAGTTGATACTTTACTTTAGTATTTAACTTCAACTTCACTTGATACTTTACTTCAGCACTTAACTTCAACTTCAGTTGATACTTTACTTCAGCACTTAGCTTCAACTGTAGTTGATACTGTACTTCAGTATTTAACTTCAACTTCACTTGATACTTTACTTTAGTACTTAACTTCAACTTCAGTTGATACTTTACTTTAATACTTAACTTCAACTTTAGTTGATACTTTAATTCAGTTCTTAGTTTCAACTTAAGAAATTAATTCAGTAAATTGATACTCTGTCAAATTAATAAGTATAATTCAATATAATATAAGTATAAGTATAATTCAATTTAATATAAGCTAAGTATAATTCAATATAACAGAAGCATAAGTATAATTCAATTTAATATAAGTATAAGTATAATTCAATTTAATATAAGCTAAGTATAATTCAATATAACAGAAGCATAAGTATAATTCAATTTAATATAAGTATAAGTATAATTCAATTTAATAAAGTATAAGTACAATTCAATATATCATAAGCATAAGTACAATTCAATTTAATATAAGCAGAAGTATAATTCAATATAACATAAGCATAAGTATAATTCAATATAACATAAGCATAAGTATAATTCAATACAATATAAGTATAAGTATAATTGTCTTTCACAAAAGGATTAAATCCATTCTTCCGCAGGCCAAAAGTACCCTCTGCACCTAATTGAATCTATGAATCGACTGCATCCAGGAATAGTCTCTAGAAGTTCTGGAATCTGGCTAGCGACAATGAACACGGAGGACGGGATAGGCATAGAAAGGAATGCAGAAGTGGCAGGGTAGAGTTGCTGGGCAAGTCAGCGACGCCTCGGCGCTCGTTCGCGGCGATACACGCGCCTATGACCGTGGAACACGGTTATAGATACATCGGGGCCACCACGAACGAGATCACCGGTTCCTCTATCTCTCTCTCTCTCCGCGGGTCTTTATCCAATCGACTTAATCGCGCGAGGCCCTCGTTGCAAGGTGCGACTGCCAGCGATGGCCATTCAATTCTCTCTCTTTCTCTTTTTGTTCACGAGCAATTTATTCGTACAGGGCGCGGCAAAGATAGCGACAGGTCGATTCTGTTGGATGAAAATTTGAACCCGTATGAATTCTGCAGATTCGGATCTGACTGTTTAGATAGAAATGAAACTGAAAAATCTGTAATTAAGTTACCTAATATGTAAGCTAACCTTAAACTTAATCTGTAAGTTAACCTCTTGCTGTAAGATTAGTTAGTCAGAAGTATTAACTATAATATTATTTATTAATTTGTTAAATAGTATTTATTAACTATTAACTACAATAGTATTAGAATCATTAAAGAAAGTCAAAATGTGATTTTGTATTTAATAGTCTTTGACTAAAAAAATTATAACTGTACTTGAACTTCAGTATTAAATATTCAAGCAAGATTTGTCAAATTTGAACTGTAAGAGTCTCTCATTAAAATACTGCAAGGGGTTAATACCACATGTGTACAAAGACATTTTGTAAGCTTGAAAACATTTTATGTTCCAGCTTCGTCCTACGTGTTAATTCGTCCGCCAAACAGAGGTTAGGTCTCAAAACGTTCTTGCTACTGAATATCCTGGTATGCAAAAGTGTATCGAAATTAGACACCAGCTTCCCCGTATAATTCGAGCACTCAAGAAAATTGCACCGTACAAGGTAGCCCGGAATTTCGTCGACTTCGATCGGACCTGCCTCCGAGGAGGAGAGATCAGGTTGTAAAAGTGGTAAAGGAAAAAATGGACAAGCTTGTCGCTACGGCTCGAGAATAAAAGGGAAGGGGTTCCGTTATGAGGAATCGTCAATTACTAGCCACTTCCTGCTGCCTCTTTCCGTCTTGTTGCAACGGTTTTTACCGCTTTCTCGCTCGTCGGTTCAGTCCCTCTAGGCACCGGTAAATTAATGAATCAACAGTGTTAACGCCTTTGAGGACGCAACGTGTGCGTCTTGTGAAGACTGGGACTGTAAGAGACCGTAGACTATAGGATGTAGACTATAGGACTATAGGATGTAGACTGTAGGAGGTGACAATTGTTAGGACATTGGTAGGAAGGTGTAATGGTATTGGCACATGAGGTGACGCACCGTATGCGTCACAATGTAGGTACATCACTGTGATGCAATGCATGTGTTGTACATTGTATTACACACATACTGCAAGATGTAATGTAAAGTTTATGCGTGTTAAATTATACTTAAGACATAGCAAAGACATAGCAGGTATCAGTGGTGTGAGGCCTACATTGTGACGCATATGGTGTGTCACCTTGTAATACATATACACACATATACCTTATATTATATCTTGCACTGTGTATAATGCATGTGTTGTACATTGTATCACACACATACTGCAAGATGTAATGAAAGATATGTAGATGTTATATTATCTATAAGACATAGCAAAGACACAGCAGGTATCATAGTGATGTGAGGCCTACATTGTGACGCATATGGTGTGTCACCTTGTAATACATATACACTCATATACCTTATATTATATCTTGCACTGTGTATAATGCATGTGTTGTACATTGTATCACACACATACTGCAAGATGTAATGAAAGATATGTAGATGTTATATTATCTATAAGACATAGCAAAGACACAGCAGGTATCATAGTGATGTGAGGCCTACATTGTGACGCATATGGTGTGTCACCTTGTAATACATATACACTCATATACCTTATATTATATCTTGCACTGTGTATAATGCATGTGTTGTACATTGTATCACACACATACTGCAAGATATAATGTAAGATATGTAGATGTTATATTATCTATAAGACATAGCAAAGACACAGCAGGTATCATAGTGATGTGAGGCCTACATTGTGACGCATATGGTGTGTCACCTTGTAATACATATACACTCATATACCTTATATTATATCTTGCACTGTGTATAATGCATGTGTTGTACATTGTATCACACACATACTGCAAGATGTAATGAAAGATATGTAGATGTTATATTATCTATAAGACATAGCAAAGACACAGCAGGTATCATAGTGGTGTAGTTCCTACATTGAGACGCATATGGTGCGTCACCTTATGTGACAGTGCCATTACATCTTATACTCCCTGCACTATAAGTGTTCTAACACGATTGTTCATCTCACCCAACGCATGTGGTGTACATTGTATTATATACACTACAAAATGTAATGTAAATGCGTTTTAAATTATCTTTATATATAAAGTATATAGCTATACAGTGAGATTGTACATAGAATATTTAGTATTAAATTGTTGAATTGCTCTGAAATAATTCATGAAGGTAATTAGAATGAAATGGCTAATTGTAAAAAAATTGAGCAGCGTGTATTTTTCCAGCATCGATCGCAGTTAACACTGATAAAGCGACCCGTTCAGGGACGTTTACCCTGGAGAGGGGTCAGTGTCACGTCGTGGGCCCAGAGTTCGTTGACTGAATAAGCCGAGGCAAGCACTCTCGGACCAAGGACCGGTTGGTCCACCCTTCGTCCCACCCTGCCTGACAGTGCCGGAGCTTTATCCCTCGTAGCCCTAAGTGCATCGACTTCTCGTTGATCCTAAGGACTGCTCTTTTTTCTTCTCGCCTTCCTGCCAGAAGTCGATCCTTTCCTTAACGAATCTTTGCTAAATTCAGCACTTGGTAAGTCGAGTATTTGACTGAGTTCAACTAGTTAATTTAAATTTGCAGAAGTCTATGCAAATCAGCGCGACCTTTCGGGGTTACGTGCAATGTGTACGAGCCATAAGGACCGGATCGATAAGTCGCCACCTCAACGTTAGCACTCGAACGATCGGGCCACGATGTCGTAAGTGGCAAAATCATCTGCCGTGTCACGGCACCGTTCCATAAACCGCTGAATCTACGAGACACGCCAGGCCTCGAGGAATCTCTTCCTGGACAGATATAACGTTGCTTCAAAAGCTGGAAATTGTTTCTTTAAATTAGGAGGATACGTTTTTGATATCACGAATTAAAGTACCTTGTCATCAAACCGACATCTTCTATTTAGAACTTCTTTTTTAAATTTTACGGAAATTACTTTTGGGACTCAAACAGAAAAAACGTTGTTTCAGGTTAAAACAACAGGGGTCAAAGGGACCAGAGTCCTTGAAAGGACGGTAAAAGTAACCTTTGGGTCAAGATTCTACCGATAGGCCAACGTAAAAGGATGCTCCGAAGGAAATTCGATCTAGGAGCGTGACGAATAATGGTCGTTTGTGGAAAATCCGAAGCAGTCGAACTCGTAAACGTCGAAACGGGAAAAATTAATTATTTATGTGAAGTCTCGAAACTTTCTCCTGAAAACCGAAACGTACATAAAAAAAGAGAAATTTATTGCTGGCTTCCAGAAGCGACGGTCGAGGTTATTCGACTAAATCAAGATATTTTTGTAAATGAACACTGATTAATGGGTACCGAGTGAAATATTGCACTAGTAAAACGAGAAGGGCAATAAAACGTGTCGTTAACAATAAGGAGCCTTTTTTGGTTTTATCTTTGAACTATTAACTTGAGTTAGGTTATCTTGCTATCTGGGTACTGTAAATTATGCTTAACAACTGATGTAGTTTTAATGAGTTTGTAAGACTTTATACAGCTGAGCTTAATATGGTTCAGTTTCTATTTTCAAGATAGTTCACTGAATCTGTGAGTAAATTAGACTTGGTTCACCTAAGCTTAGTATATGTAGTTCAATTTTTATATTGAAAGATACAAGTTTATTGAATATTCTGTGAGTCTGTAAATTAGACTTGGTGCACCTAAGCTTAGTACATGAAGTAGTTCAATTTTTATATTGAAAGATACAAGTTTATTGAATATTCTGTGAGTCTGTAAATTAGACTTGGTTTAGCCAGCTTACTACATGAAGTACAATTTTTATTTTCAAGATACAAGTTCACTGAATATTCTATAAATATGAATTTATAAATATAGCCTAATATAGAGTTTGTAAACTAGACTTGGTTCAGCTAAGCTCAATACATGAAGTACAATTTTTATTTCCAAGATACAAGTTCACTGAATATTCTGTAAATATAAATTTGTAAATATAGCCTAGTACAGAGTTTGTAAACTAGACTTGTTTCCTCTAAGCTCAGTACATAAACTACATTTTCTATTTTCATGTCACAAGTTCACTGTATACTCTCAGAATTAAACTCAACAATTGTTAAGCATAATAAAGCCTACAAATATAAAGCTACAAAGCTTACGGTTAACCCCAAAATTGCAAAAGCGATACAGTTAGATTAGCATCAGACCCAGACACACGGAAGGTGCAAGCACGAAAGAACTCGACAGGCGAAACTGGAATTTTATTGTAAAACCGATGGCGAGTTTCGTTTCGCGACACGCCTCTGGTAACAAGAAACGAGCATGTCAACTGCAGCTGGCAGCTAATTAGCATCGTATCTGTATTTATGGAAAATCAATGTCTCCGGCGGCTATACAAACAGATACGATCGAGAGTTGTACTTCGTTGGCAAGCGATCCGCGATAAGGGCCCCTCGATACTGGGGATCTTCCAATGATTCGAAGCGTCTCGTCCAAAATTAACACCATTATATTTTTACTAGTGAAGCGCTCTTTTGTACTTTAGTATTTGTGGGTATTAGGGCAGGTAGAGTGTTGTTTTGTGGATTGTTTGTGTGGTGTTTTATTGCTTGGTATTTGGGATTTAGGAATGGGGGAATTGGGAGTTGGAGGGATTAGGGATTTGGGAGTTTGGGAATTTGGGGATTTAGAAGGTGGGGGGTTTGGGAATTTGGGGATTAAGGAAGTGGGGCGTTTGGGAATTTGGGAGATTGAGAATTTGGAAGCTTGGGGATTTGGGAGCTTGGGGATTTGGAAGCTTGGGGATTTGGGAGCTTAGGAATTTGAGAGCTTGGAGATTTGGGAGCTTGGGAATTTGGGAGCTTGGGAATTTGGGAGCTTGGGAATTTGAGAGCTTGGGGATTTGGGAGCTTGGGGATTTCAGAGCTTGGGGATTTGGGAGCTTGGGGATTTGAGAGCTTGGGGATTTGGGAGCTTGGGAATTTGGGAGCTTGGGAATTTGGGAGCTTGGGAATTTGGGAGCTTGGGAATTTGGGAGCTTGGGAATTTGGGAGCTTGGGAATTTGGGAGCTTGGGAATTTGGGAGCTTGGGAATTTGGGAGCTTGGGAATTTGGGAGCTTGGGAATTTGGGAGCTTGGGAATTTGGGAGCTTGGGAATTTGGGAGCTTGGGATTTGGGAGCTTGGGGAGTTTGGGAGCTTGGGAATTTGGGAGCTTAGGAATTTGGGAACTTGGAGATTTGGGAGCTTGGGGACTTAGAAACTTGAAAATATAGAAATTTGGAATCTGAGAAATTAGAAGCCTATGTATTTAAAATACAAGGCTGTAATTTGACAAATTGTTCATCTACAAATTTCTAATCACAAGTCAAAAGAGTACAAAAGGTTAAATTACCAACATAATTCAAAATTATCGACAAGTATTCGAACACGAAGTTTCTCGAAGAAAGGAATGTTCGATAAAGAAACGCATCGTCTAGTATCGTACCGCAAATAAGATAAAAGGAAAAGAAGACGTGTATCGATGCTTTCCCACGTCGAAAGAACTTCCGTCACCCGTATCGCCAGCGTTATCTAAGCGAGGATGAAAGTTCTGTATAAATCGTCTATTGACACGGAGGACCTCGATCATTCTCTCGGTATCTTGTCAATATCCCAATGCAGATGGTTATTTGCAATACGGCTTTGTGAAACTAGTCGTGTGAAACGAAAAAATTCGAAGAAACCTGAGGTAGTTCTTAAACTCGTAAAGGACTCGGTTAATCTTCTTGAAGACATCGGGCAAATATTTGGCATTCGATTTCAATACATTGGCGTAAGGGTATTGGGTTTGAAACAGTGTGGACTGTGAGGGAGACGTGGAATATTTTCAAGCTTAGAAATTATGAAGGTGATTTATAAATTCTGAAGTTCTCAAATTCCAAATTGTTAAATTTCTGAGGTCTCAAATCCAAATCTGTTCAACTCTATTCGTTTTAATATCGTAGAGATTCTAACGCGTCAGACAAATTATAGCGCAAGGAGTTTTGTCAAAATTGTATAAAATATCAAACGTTTTTGGATGACAAGCAGTTTATCGTATGATCAGGTCAAAGGATTAACACGGTTGAAGAAAGAGGGGTCCTTGGTTCCGATACATTGCAGATACGTCTGATTGATCGTTTTCATAATTCATGAAACCCTCTCGCGACTGCAGCCCTCGTAAGGTTACATAATGTAAGAGGCAGATCGCTTGCTTATGCATCTCGATCGGATACGGTGATCGATAGATCGTCTGGAGATTGGCCAGTTGCAGCTATCGCTCGCCTACCATCTTTGCCGAACGAGAAATTTCGAAATCGTTTCCGTTCTTTTGTTCCGGAATACTTGCGTTTGCTTTGGTATTAGTTTGAAATCAAATTTGATTTTATGGTAACTTATATCGAGTTTAGTACACAAAGTTGCTACGTGGTAACTTATATCAAGTTTAATATAGAAACTAGCTGCTTAGTAACTTATATTAAGTTTAGTACACAAAGTAGCTACGTGGTAACTTGTATCAAGTTTAATATATAAACTAGCCACTTAGTAACTTATATTCAGTGTAGTACACAAAGTAGCTACGTGGTAACTTACATCAAGTTTAATACAAAAACTAGTTACTTAGTAACTTATATTCAGTCTAGTACACAAAGTAGCTACGTGGTAACTTATATCAAGTTTAATACAAAAACTAGTTACTTAGTAATTTACATTAAGTTTAGTTCACAAAGAATTTGACTACAATTAAGCTTTGTATGGGAGAACTACAATTAAATTCAGTACATCTAGCAAGTTAATTAAAATTAAATTTAGTATGAATCTTAAGTTAAGTAAAATTAAATTTTGTGTACTAGTAAGTTAATTAAAATTAAATTTTGTATACTAGTAAGTTAATTAAAATTAAATTTTGTATAATAGTAAGTTAAGTAAAATTAAATTTTGTGCAGTAAGTTAATTAAAATTAAATTTTGTATAATAGTAAGTTAACTAAAATTAAATTTTGTATAATAGTAAGTTAACTAAAATTAAATTTTGTGCAGTAAGTTAATTAAAATTAAGTTTAGTATAAGTAGTAAGTTAACTAAAATCAAATTTCCTACCCCAGAAAAATAACTAATATTAAATTTGCCACTAGTAAATTATTTAAAACGTAATTTACCACGTTGCTATCTAAAAAGGTTACCTCACAACGACATCAATAAAATCGCAAAAAATTTACGTTATTACCCCACGTCAATAATTCCCGATATCAAGCTTTGTGATTTCTCCATTTATCTCGAGAGTTATCCGTGCACTTTCAACTTGTTGTTCTCAATTTCATACGATTAAATCGAATCTCGGTTCGAATTGCCAAATTCAAGTTAACACTCTCATTTCTTCCTCTCTCTTTTGATCGACTATCAAAACCATTCTATCGAAATATTTATTCAGGTGCTCGAAAACAATTTTAATGTCCCCTAATTAACACTCTATTGAATATACGATATACTTCTGATAATAAGAACACTATTATGTAAGGTAGTGAAGTATTTGAAACATGTGCAAATCACATTGAAAAACCTTTGCAATAAAGAAACTTTACAAGTATAATATTTCAAGTATTATTTGAACAGAAATGTTTCCTAGTTAATTATCAAAGTTCCAACTCTCAAGATAACTGATAACTAATCAATCTATGTAGGTAAAATTGATGAACCATATCGATATCCAAAAATAATGTAAAACCGTCTGTAGAGATTCTAGCAGCTAAGCAAATAGAAATTTATCAGGCAACGATAAAATCTTTAATAGCCGAGAGACGATGAAATTACGTAGGTTTTCGCAAAAATTGATTCACGTTATAAAAAAAGAATTTTTAGTATCCGAGTCATCCGGAGGCGACAAGTTGGTCTGTCGAGGTTGTCTGCCCGTTTCTTCCAGCATCGCTCGCGTTTCCCCGCTTTTTCGTCGTCCACGGGCTTGATTTACATGAAACAAGTGTCACGGCTGGATATATTTAGACATGGCGTCGTCAGGGACCGATTTCGTTGTCCCTTGTCGTATATCATGCGAGAGAAAGCTTTCAAAACCTGTAAATTGTATCTTCATTCACTAACAATGTATTTTATAATGTACAATGTATTTTGTATGTGCAATATTCAGATAGATTAAGAGGACTCCTTTATGTACTCCTTAATTTACCTACTCCTTAATGTATAACATAAAGACAGTCCCTATAAAATGTATTTTAACAATGTGCTCTGTGTAGCAAATACATTTTTCATTTATTATAAACAGCAAGTAAAATTCATTTATTGTAAACAACAAATAAAATTCGTTTGTTGTAAACAGCAAATAAAATTCATTTATTATAAACTGTAAATAAAATTCATTTTTTAATAAACAGCAAATAAAATTCATTTACTATAAACAGTAAATGAAATTCATTTACTATAAGCAGCAAATAAAATTCATTTACTATAAACAGCAAATCAAATTCATTTACTATAAACAGCAAATAAAATTCATTTATTATAAACAGCAAATAAAATTCATTTACTATAAACAGCAAATAAAATTCATTTACTATAAACAGCAAATAAAATTCATTTACTATCAACTGCAAATAAAATTCATTTTTTATAAACAGCAAATGAAATTCATTTTTTATAAGCAGCAAATAAAATTCATTTATTATGAATAGCTAATAAAATGTCAAGTTTAATATGTATATAATAAAATATTGAAATAGTAAAAATATATATATTCAACCAATGTATCTGAATTATGTATAAGCTCCACTTTCTTCATTTACTATAAACAGCAAATAAAATATCAAGTTTAATATGTATATAATAAAATATTGAAATAGTAGAAATATATGTATTCAACCAATGTATCTGAATTATTTGTAAGCTCCACTTTCTTCATTTACTATAAACAGCAAATAAAATATCAAGTTTAATATGTATATAATAAAATATTGAAATAGTAGAAATATATACATTCAACCTATGTATCTGAATTATGTATAAGCTCCACTTTCTTCATTTACTATAAACAGCAAATAAAATATCAAATTTAAAATGAATGTAATAAAATATTAAAGTAGTAAAAATATATATACTCAACTAATTTATCTTAATTATTTCTAAGCTCCAAAAAATGTCCAGTCACAATGTATGAGTTATGTTAGGTTATGTTAGGTTATTCATCCATCACAAGGGTTATGTTAGGTTATTCGTCCATCTTGTTACAAATTTTGCACATCCATAAATTCATGCAGAGCTTCAACAGTTCAAATGAATTGCTGCAATCATTAATGCAATTAGTTTTAATTAAAACAGTTTGAAATCACCTATCATTTATTCTTTCAAACTATAAGAAGAAAATAAGAAGAGAAGAAAAGAAGTTTTTCAAGAAGGTTGCTGAAATGGCACCTTCATAAAGAGATCATTCGCCCGGTATATTTAAAATCTTTCGATGAGGCAATCCCGAGTAAAAATAATCGAAACACACGTGTAGGACTCGAACTGATCGATTCGGGGGCTCGAGACAAAGAAACCAAGGTTCCCCTTAATTGTTCAGCATCGAGTCGAAAATTAGTAATCGTGGAAAGTTTCGAAGGTCTGCGAAACCTTGAAAAATCTTGATCTCACGATTGACGGTTACGTCAGTGTTTGAACGAGGAAGAAATAACTAACCTAAGATAATATTCGCTAGATACATCTATTTAGTAAGATAATATTGTTCGATAGAAATAGTATTCCGAAAGTATCTTTGTTTCGAATGTCTTCGCTCAACAAAAATGTTATTATTGATACTTTTTTAGTTGCACGGTAAAATAGAAAACTTGCACGAGGCTTGTTGCCATGCAAGGGGTGGAACTCGCGCAGAACGACCGCACCCTCGCCATAGTAATTGATTGAGCCGCGCCCTGCGAGGGTGTTAGCTTCTACTAGCGAAACCTTTAAACTATACTCGAATGTACAATTACCTTACAATATCATTTACTCTATCGATGTATTATTAAAAACGTTGAGTCGGGATTTTCTTCAAAAAGGTTATGTAACTTCAAGTTTTATACTCGTTTCTATGCTTCAAGGTTTTAGACTTCAAGGTTTTATGCGTTAAGGATGTATATATCAAAATGAGGTTAGGGTAGCGACAAGATTGATTCAATGTTGTATGACAGCACCTTGAAATCATAGAATGAAGGTTCTATCTTCCTAATTTGCATTATTTGAAGACCTATTAGCTCCTTGTCGAGCGTCATGTTCGTAGCGTCCACTTAACGAGCGTCTGTGTCCTTAGCGTCCACTTATCGAGCGTCCATGTTCTTAGCGTCCACTTATCGAGCGTCCATGTCTTTAGCTACCGGTTCTGAAGCTTATATATTATTGGATTTAATTTCTGAAGCTTCTATGTCCTTAGATTTAATTCCTCAAGGTTCTATGTTGTTAGATTTAATTCCTCAAGCTTCTATGTTCTTAGATTTAATTCCTCAAGCTTCTATGTTGTTAAATTTAATTTCTCAAGCTTATAACTCCTCCATTTCGACATCTGAAATTATTATATCATATAATTAGCAATCTATCAGAAATTGCAGTGATTCTAGCTCTCACAGCTAGAACGTCATTTCCTAAATTTGTATCTCCTAAACTTGAATCTCTAGAACTATCAGTCCTAATATTCCACATCCTCATAAATACCGCAATAAATTTTAATCACTGTCGAATCAGCTAACAAGCACAGTTGACTAATCCTTATCTTTGCTTAAGACTTGATACACTCTATTTCCTTAGATAATCCTTTATCATCATTTACCTCCCTTATCTACCAACTTGATACCTTATTATCGTTTATCTCGCCTTATCTATTATCTATCATTTCACTGAACAAAGTTTCCTAAGAATTTCTAAAACTCCAGAAGATCTGCTGAACTTGTACAAAAAACTTGTCACTATTTTATCTCACATAAAAATTATGTAATATGTTCTCAAGCTATCTCTTAGTACTTTCCAAGTTATCTTGAAATATTTTTTGCAACAATGCATTTGAACAAATTTGTTCGGACTCGAGTACGGTTCATAGCCATCGCTAGAATTCGACGCACGAGCAAACGGTCGACCTATAGAACACGACGTTATATTCCTACACCTCGGCCTGGAATAACGGCGAGGGTGATGGCACGATGGTGGTAGTGCGGGTACAAGGTATAGTGGTGGTGATGGCGACGTTATAGGTGGAAAGGATAGTGGTGGTGGACCGTCATGCCACATAGTGTGATAGTGGCGCATTAAACGACCAACCCCCGTCTAGCACCCTTGGCCCAACCTACGAGAACTCGCTAACGAAAAACGAGTCGAGATCGAAGATCCAGATCGATTCTGAATTATATGGAGCATGAATACAATTCAAATATGAGTGCTTAAATCCAAGGATTATTCTAATAGGTAGATAGGATGTCTATCAAGGGTTCAGGTGCATTCTCGATTTTCCATGCTGAATGGTGAAAAACCACTCGTGTTACAGATTAATGGGTGCGCAGGTAGGTCCCTTGAGGGGACTTTAGAAATGGGGCTGAAACATGACTTCTGTCCTGACCTTTCTATAGTTGGAGAGAAAGATCCACTTGTGGGGATTAACACTTGTGATGGGATAAACAGGTACTATGAGAGAAGTGCTTGGACCTACGCTTTCAAGTGGACGCTTCAAAGTTTCATAGCAAGGATTTATTGAGGTACAAATTCAAGACTCAGTTTAGGGTCTTACTCAAGGTTCTATGATCCAGGATCTTATGCAGTGAGATCCAAAGGATGATGTGCTCCAGGATCACACTACTTGATGTACTACAAGTTCTATGTTCTTAGCTCCAGAGTATAAAATTCCTATATCCCTATCTGCAAAGTCCTAAAATCCTTAGCTTCACAATTCCAAACTACCATGTCGCCATCTTCAGAGTCCTAAGCTTCCATAACTCTAACTTCAAAGTCCTTGGCTCAGAAGTGCCAAACTCCCAAGTTCCCATGTCCAAAGCACCAAACTTCCAAAGTTCTTACTTCCAAAGCCCCAAACTCCTATGTCCCTATCTCCAAAGTCCTAAACTTCCAAAGTCCTTACCTTCAAAGCCCCAAACTATCAAGTCCCTATCTCCAAAGCCCCAAACTCCCGAAATCCTTATTTCCAAAGTCCCAAACTTCCAAAGTCCTTATCTCCAAAGCCCCAAACTCCTAAATCCCCATCTCTAAAGTCCCTAATTCCCATATCCACATCTCCAAAGCCCCAAACTCTCAAAATCTTTAACTCCAAAGCCCCAAACCTCCAAAGTCCTTACTTCCAAAGCCCCAAACTCCCAAGTCCCCATCTCTAAAGCCCCAAAGTCTCATATCCCCATCTTCAAAGCCCCAAACTCTCAAAAGCCTTACCTCCAAAGCCCTAAACTCCCAAAATCCTTATCTCCAAAGCCCCAAACTCCCAAATCCCCATCCCCAAAGCCCCAAACTCCCAAACTCCCAAATCCCCATCTCCAAAGTCCCAAACTCCCAAGTCCCCATCTCCAAAGCCCCAAACTCTCAAAATCCTTACTTCCAAAGCCCCAAACTCCCAAAATCCTTATCTCCAAAGCCCCAAAACTCCCAAATCCCCATCCCCAAAGTCCCAAACTCCCAAATCCCCATCTCCCCAGTCCCAAACCCCCATACCCCATCTCCAAATCCCCAAACTCCCAAAATCCTTCCTTCCCAGCTTCCAAACTCCCACCTCCCCATCTCCAAAATCCCACACCCTCAATCTCCCACCTCCCAATTTCCCACCTCCAAAAATAAAACCACCAAAGAAGCAAAATTCAGGAAAAGAACTATGTACAGAACACTCCTGCAGTCTCCACACAAAATCCCAGTCTCGAGGAGGCTAAGCAACAGTGATATACTCGTTCCCCGAGGCAAAGGTGTTCAAGAAACCCGGTCCCTTCGGTCTCTTAAAGCCGATCGGTACGATGACCTCGGATCCTCGGAGCAGGGGGATGATACCCCGAGTAATTAAAACTTCGAGGTCGACCACGAGGACGAGCACACCGACAAATCTACGAGTCGTACGTGCAAGACAACCTTTGGATCTGTGGAAGATCCGGCCCCGAATACCGAACAGGCTTGGGAGTTGTTTGACCAGCTGCTACGAAGAAACCCTCGTCCTCCTTTCCTTTCCGTCTTAGCAACGCTTTCCCAATTCGGCTTCGGTTTGCTCTGCCGCTTCCCCTATTTTCTTCACATTATCCCTGCGGGGGTACACAGTTTTAGAGATAATTGTTAACAGTTTAGGTAGATAGTTTAATGGAAGATGTGGATTTTCTACTGACAGCTTGTGACATTATTACCTCGGAGATGTATTTTTATAGATTTCTAAGTAGATATTAATATATTATCAAGTCCCTATACTTCCATGTTCTTGTATTCTACAGGGTGTCTCACGATGCGCGCGCAGACGCGAGACAGCTTCGAGCCAGCGGCTGAGCGCGCGAAATTCTTGCGCTCTGATTGGTCCACGTCTTTCCTTAATAATTCAAAAACGAAGCTTCAATCCTCATTTCTGCAAAGGGAAATCTCATTCAGAATCACGTCAGCTACCTTCCATTTCAGGGACCCACACTAGAGACACCTTGTGAGACACCCTGTATCCTACTTTATCCTTCATCCTCCCTATTACATTAAATTTCTGCCTTACAAGGTTTCTACATAACCAAGTCCATTTATCTCCAAGTTTCCTATATCCCCAGTTTTAGAAATAATTATCACCTCGGATCGACAGCAGTTCATTGGAGGAAGATTATGTAGATCTTCTACATAATTGATATAAGCTTGTGTCATTATGTCGTATGTTGCTTAACGGTGTATCTCGATACGGCACTGGTCGCTAAGACCGATCATGGCCCATGGATGGTCGCTGGCCGAACAAGACCGTTGTAACAGTACCTCACGTGCCATAGGGATCCCATAACCGGCCACGTGGAAAAAAAAGATATTGAGACGCGATCGATGCCGCACCTGAGCATTCATCTAGCTAATCAGATAAGATACGCGGTGTCCCATAATAAGCAACTCTTGTACTTCCAAAAATTAATTCTTCATTTTCTAATTTAGAGTTGAAACTCCAAATGTGTGTATTCTTGAATCTCCCAATGTGTAAATTCTTGAATCTCCCAATGTGTAAATTCTTGAATCTCCAAATATCTAAGTTCTCAAATTCTGAAATCTCCAAATGTGTGAATCCTCAAATCTCCAAATGTGTCAAGCTCAAATTTCCAAATGTGTGAAGCTCTAATCTCCAAATGTGTGAATCCTCAAATCTCCAAATGTGTGAATCCTCAAACCTCCAAATATATGAATCCTCAAATCTCCAAATCTGTGAATCCTTAAATCTCCAAATCTCCAAATCTCTGAATCCTCAAATCTCCAAATGTGTGAATCCTCAAACCTCCAAATCTCTGAATCCTCAAATCTCCAAATCTATGAATCCTCAAATCTCCAAATCTGTGAATCCTCAAATCTCCAAATCTCTGAATCCTCAAATTTCCAATTTCCCAAATCCTAAACTCTCCAAACCTGCAAATTGAGAAAACTCCTAATTTCAAAATTCCGAAAAGAACGATAGAAGAGAATAAAAATCCTCGCGACAATGATTGCGTTAAAAAAAGAAAGAATGCGACGCACGCGAGGACAATTATAGAGCGTTTAACGCGTATTTATCGCGGCGCCATCGGCCGCGTATCAGAGGGGCCCGGACAGCCTTAGCTACGACGTCTACGTCTCTATAATACACCGCGGCTGGCAAACACTTGTATTTGATTAGCGGATGTCGCCACGTACGCGGCTAATACGTGTTCCGACAACAGATTTCTCCGTAGCGCAAATAATGAGACATCGTGTCAAGCTGACGCCTCGATTCGCACCAGACATTTGTCTTCCCATTGATTCAAATTTTATCTTTCTCCATAATGAACTGTTCTTCGTAACGAGACTATTAATATTCAATTCTTAGGCTTTTGTGTAAGGTGTCTCGTGTTGTCAAGATGTTCCTGTAAAGTTTAGAGAGTGATAGTTTTAATTATTCTTTTAAGGATGTTTCAAAGTATAGCAGTAGTTAAATTGTGAATAATATAGGTTATGTTATGTTTTGAAGTATGAGGAGACAGAGACAGAGATGGAGACAGAGATGGAGACAGAGACAGAGACAGAGACATAGACAGAGACATAGACAGAGACTTAGACAGAGACATAGACAGAGACAGAGATGGAGACATAGACAGAGACATTGACAGAGACATTGACAGAGACATATAGACATAGACATAGACAGAGACTTAGACAGAGACTTAGACAGAGACATAGACAGAGACAGAGATGGAGACATAGACAGAGACATTGACAGAGACATTACAGAGACAGAGACATATAGACATAGACATAGACCATTGACAGAGACATACAGACATAGACATAGACCATAGACAGAGACATACAGACAGAGACATACAGACATAGACATAGACCATAGACAGAGACATACAGATATAGATATAGACATAGACAGAAACATAGACAGAGACAAAGACATAGACATAGACATAGACACAGACATAGACAGAGACATAGACAAAGACATATAAACATAGACATAGACAAAGACATATACATAGACATAGACATAGACATAGACATAGACATAAACAGTAGTCAAATAGTATTATAAATAACAGTTCAAATTACGTTTCAAAGTATGCATTAATAGTCAAATCATAAATGAAGAATTTCGCAAAACAAAATGGCGTCGAATTTCTCCTCAATACAAAGAAGACTTCGATGCTACAAAGAGTTCAGAGCTAAAGAGACTTCAATACAAAGACTTTTGCAGTCACGTCCGATATCGTTCGATCTTCCTCGAGAAACAGTATCGTTATCGATAC